ACTGAGCCACCCAGGCGCCCCCCAAAATTTCTTTTTTTTAAAAAAGTTTTATTAAGTAATCTCTACACCCTACGTGGGGCTCGAACTTATGACCCCAGGGTCGAGTCACATGCTCTTCTGACTGAACCAGCCAGGCACCCCTTGTCTGAAAAATTTCTTAATAAAATATTGAAAAAATTAACTAGTTGATTTTTTTATAGTTTTTTTTTTTTTTTAAATAATCTCTATACCCCATGTGGGGCTCAAACTCACAACCCCAAGATCAAGAGTTGCATGCTCCACTGACTGAGCCAGCCAGGCAGCCCAACTAGTTGATTATTTTAAATGCAAAATTTCCAACATTAAGTCACAAAAGCAGTTTGGATACACTTAATGTATATAACTCAGGCTACATTATAATAAACATTAGTCTCCTTACCAAATATGATTATATATAATTTTTAAATGTTGACAGTTCTCCTTTTTTATACATGAACAGGTTGCATCACTTGTTAAGAGAAATGTGAATTTTGTGTTTTAAGAATGTTAATGGTTTAGGGGCACGTGGGTGCCTCAGTCGGTTAAGTGTCTGCCTTTGGCTCAAGTCATGATCCTGGAGTCAGGGATCAAGCCCTACGTCGGGCTCCCTGGGCTCCCTGCTCAGCGGGGAGTCTGCTTCTCCCTCTCCCTCTCCCCCTCCTAGTGTTCTCTCTCCCACTTTGTCTCTCTCACAAATAAATAAAATCATTAAAAAAAAAATGTTAAGGGTTTAATACGAACTATCTAGATTTTAAAATCCCTTTCTCTTATACTATACATAAGTATGTTCATAAGATTGTATTGTGGGAACTGAGACATCTGTAGCCCTCAATCACCATAATGACTCTACTGTTTGTTTCAGGAAATTCTTGCCCACAGGTAGGCTGTCAATTAGTACATAGCTTAATTGTTAGCTTTAAATTTTCCTGAAAATCCATTTATTTGAAGAATAGGTTGCTCATCTGGGTAAAAAACTTCTCTCTCAGGTACTGAGAAGTTGAACTGATCACTCAACTGGCAAATCCCCTTCCTTACCTAAAAAGGAAAATAATCTGTTATCAAGTCCCTCATTTTGCTCAGCCCACCAGTCCTTAACTATTATACCATGCACTATGTCCATTCCTAGGGAGGTATCCACAAAGGAATTGAAAAAGCCACCTTAAACCTCTACAACCTAAACTCCAAAACCCTATAAAAATCACCCTTGACCTTCTCTCTGAGACACTAATAAGATTTTTGTCAAAATAGTAATCTCCCTTAATGCAGTAAGTGAGAAATTTGGTTTTACTCAAACAGGTTATTTTGGTGGTCTTTTTTCGAGGAGTTAGCAGTAGACAATCACAGTGAAGAGACTTCACAATTGACAAAGTTTGGGAAACATGTATGACCCCAAGCAAATCTGGAGTACTTGCAAGCCTCCACTTTGTCTTGACAGGAATTCACTGGCGCCATCAACAGATGAAATTAGGAATATAGAAAGCCAGGGAATAAAAAAAACCCAAAAAACAAAAAACCTAAAGGAGGAAATCATACCAAAATGAAGATGGTAAGAGCTGTAGAACTTTATTTCCTGTCTTCATGCAGACAACCAATGGGAATCTCTGAATGAGTCAGTATATTTTTTTTTTAAT